GTCTTAAAATGTCATATAAATAAAATAAGATTTGTATTATAAATGTAACTTACTATTTCGTGTCAAAATAGGCGTGATTGGATGGGGTACACAAATTGACTATGACATGGAGTAGCTCATAGGCATAGACTTTAGGCATCCATAGACGTACCCGAGTGAAGCAAGGGTTTTTTTATAGTGCTCAGTGATAAACGAGCTAACAGACCTGATGGAAAGCGGTACCTGTCGTCTATAAAACCTACGGTTCATGCACTTAGGTTTTATGTAACAAAAATGCAGAACCGCATGCGTGTTACTGTGAAGACTAAGATGATATGCCTCTAGCCTGTATTTACGCGGGCTACCTTATCCTTCAAACCAGACAACAACAATGCAATCATTTTTGCTTCTCGGGAGAAATACGTAAGAGGGTGGTACCCATCCAGTCGAACCCCTCAAGCTTAACAGAGTCCTACCACTAGTAAGTCGCTAGCCTGTATATCTGTATAATAAATATTATAAATATGAAAGTTTGTGAGCATGTATGGATGCTTATTACTCTTTCACGCCAGAACGGCTAAACGAATCTGCATGGCACAGAGATATAGTCTGGAATATTACATAGGCTACTTTTTATCCTGGAAAAATATACGGTTTCCGAGGGATAGATTTGTTTCAGTATCTGTTCTTCTAGAGGCGAACCCGAGCGAAGCGAGGGTGAGCCGCTATTGTAGCACATTTGTATTTGAAGTATAGTACAGGTTACTATGTATGCTCTATCATTATAATGGTGTAAGCAACGGTAGTATATTAAATTACAATGAAATTAAATCCTTTTTGTGGTTACCTAGTAACCAACTACACTCGCGGCTTTATTGATGAAAGGTAATCTGTATGGAAATTTAACTTCAATAAAAAAGATGTTACGCACTTTCGAATAAAAATCAAAATTTATTTCAAATCTTAATATTCAGCACAATAGAGGATACAAAAAATCAATATTTGCGACGAATTAAATATTTATAAATGTCATCTGTTTTTAATTTTTATGCTTTATTTTAAACATTTTGTATAAAAAAATCGATTTTAGCAATTTTTAAAATCAATACATTTGGGAAATTAATTTCATAATCAATTGTCTTACGCACGATTCTAAAACCAGAATCAAATTAGGGTCAAAGTCACAAGTGCGCGATGTCCACTTATTATTACAATATCAAGGAATTATTTTAATAGCCCTAGAAAAATTAACACGTTCGCTGCATTACGAGATCTATCAGATCTCTTGCAGGACTTTTGTACTGTGCGTTGACTATAATCGTGTTGTTTCACTCCTTGCGGGAGGCTCTAACATGTAAAGTTCTTTAAGTATGAGTAAGACAAATATACATATTTGCTTCCTACTTAAAGGTGAATTCGAGGACATAAAAAAATAAATAGAGATGGATTAGGTCCCTAACGCACAGTAGTATAATTATTTTTATTCCTTGCGTTAGGAGACATGTCGATACTCGTGGAATCGTACGCCTCGTAGACGCAAGAAAGGGAGGTTGGGGGGCGCGGGCGCTGTGTGAATCGATTTAGTGTTGTCCTAGTGTCGACGTGGGAGGTTGCGCGCACGTTTCGAAAAAGGGTAAAAACATTTTTATTTAATATATTTTATTTAATTACTTAATAAAATTGTTTTATTTTGGTGAGATTTCTAAGAATGAAAAATCAACGCTGGATTATAGTGCTGCATCGTCCAGTATAATTACAATTTTGGAAAATATAATGCTTTTTATTACAGAATTCCCCGAAGGAAGATGTACAGATCATGTTTTCCAACGTGGCGACAAAAAAAGACGTTGTGTGGGTTGTTATGAAAAATTACGACGCACATTAAACAGCACTGACGCTTCTAAAAAAAGCTGAAAAAATACCATTTGCACGCAATTCAAATAATCAATGTGCTTACTATGTTTTAATGAAAAACACTTTGCATAGTTTATAAATAAACTTCTTTAATAAAACTTTTTCAATCGACAACTGAGATATTATTTTATTCCCATCACTACTTACTACACATATTGAACTATCTTCGGTTGCGGTACGAGATACAATCGATATCTAATTTTTTTTTGGTATTTGTAGCTTATTCTAATGTCATAACTGCGTGCGAACCTAGCAAAATGTAGAGCAATAGGCTCTCTTGACCCACAAAAACTTTAAAATATATGTCATTAGTTTTTTGGAAGATATAAATTATTTTCAAAACTGTATTTTTAGGAGACTGATTAGGTCTCTAATGCACCAAAGGGTAGGCTAGTTTTGAGATCTTTTAGGTCTCCAAAGCACCAGCTGAAAGTTCTTTCAAAATGATGACGCAGTGAACGTGTTAAACTAAATGATCATTCGTACTTTGTTGTGATGTTTTAATGATTTCCTCACTGTGATAACGCAAGAAGCGTTAATTATGGGATCAATTACTCGTAAATATTGATAAGCCAGTTTTTATGGTAACAGCAAGATTGTTAGTAGGATGTATACTTCCTCATAGACGTAAGTTGAGAAGTGCTCGAAAAAGTTCATTTCATTAAAGATAATTTTTAGTTTGAGTTTTAAAGGCTACGTTATTAAATACTACTCAAGGTTACTAAGTTCTTATGTGTCATATCAGAAGTTTGTAAACAACGCACAGAAAAAAAGGGTACATCATGTTGGGCCTCATTATAAAAACAATACTAATTTTATTCAATTAGACTTTTATAAGGAATTTTGAATTTTAAACAAAACTATCTAGTCGAATTTTTTCGCGAACTTAGTCCGTTAATTATATATAGGCAGGACAAAAATGTCTTTAAAAAGAATTTACTACTGTTTGACAAAAAAGATACCGACTTCAAAATAATGTATACCAACCCTAGGATATTTTTTAAATTTATGTATAACCTATTCATTAACAAAAGAATTATAGAATTTAAACATTGAAGATCGAAGACATCGCGTAGCAAACGCACGAATCTCCCAAGGATTTGAGATAGTCGGTCAGAAATAAGCTACTTACACACATTAAACTAAGAAAAGTATCATTATTTATTAATATCTGATAATAGATTTGTTATTCACTAAGTTTTGGTAGGCCTAAGAAACTAAATTTTTGTTTAACGTTACGAAATGCATTTTGGCATACCACCTGCACACATACAGGTGGTTATGTGTGACTCACCGCCATAGCCAGTACTATCCACTACAACCCAACGGAACCACCCCCGTCTTAATGGAGAGTCGCCAGGTCACTTACGCACTCAACTACGACGCCTCTAGGACAGGTCTGCCGAAGCAGACCACAACAACCATGGGGTTGTTCCAACAGTCCACTCTACTATCAGAGACGTACCAAATGCAACCAGCATGACACACCATCCACTGAGGTGGGCCGACACCCTGTGCATTTCTCGGCTTCGCGCCGGCTAGATTGCCGGACTCCAATGAGGCCCCCCGCCGGCCCAAGGGGGGGGCATTCCTCCACGACAAGATGACCGCACATGGGAGGAGGGAGTGGGGGGGGGCTAATACGTGATCTTCAAAATAACTATTTCTTTACAGGTAGATAAAACAATAACCACTATATCAAATAACCTCTGGTTCATACATGTGTGGTGAAATGCATAATGACATACTATGTAAAACGTAACATGAGATAGATAAACAAAAACAATATAATTGCTTACACGTACGTACATATGTACATTATAATTATTATTATACAACATGTATCTTACAGGGCAAATAAAATAAAAAATATTTGTAATAATAAATGATATTCATTTTTACATTCAGCATGCATTTAAAATAGACTGGCAACAATAAAAAAATATAACACTAAGTACTCCTTCACACATTTCCCTTACAGGGTGTATACTATATATTGGGATAACTGGTCCATATACCTAGCCTACGTAGGGATATATGTATGTTGGTGTGTGTATCTTACCGTTACGTTTTAACTTTATATATGCATATTTGCAAACAAAAATTGTATTTTAATCACTGTATTTATTTTTAAGTGCCATAAAGCATACTACCTATACTAGTGATGTTCCAAGGCTTCATCTAAGTGTTTTTTAAGAATACCAAATCTCTTTTTATAATTTTTTTTTACATATATAACTTGCCATTTCATTTCACTACATTGGTAATTTAATATATTATAGTTACATTATTTACTTTTTTCAAATCCATACTACATTCAGTTCGATCGAAAAAAGATACACAGAAGGGTTTATTTCGCATTTTTTAGAAACTGTTAGAAAATTGCCTATTTTTACTTAAAAACAACATTACCTTTTATCTATCTATCTCTACGCGTTCCTAAACTGATTGTGATGGTCCGATTGTGATATAAGTCTGCGAAGGTTTCCGGCGCAAAAAAAAGTTTTTTCTTGCGTTTCTAAGCCATTCAAGCTTATGGATGCGCCCAAATAAAGCGACGGTACGCTAGTAATATTATAAACACCTATAATTCCAGATATAAACTTCTAAAAACAAATATTAATTTATAAATAAATAAAAAACAAATATTTTATTTAATATACCTGAAGTATACGAGAACATAAGTTGTGTAACCATGCTTTGTTTTTTTATGAATGAAAGTAATTAAACCCGCTGTCGAATCATTTATGGCCGTGTATTATGAAATTCCGCAGTCGTTGCGTGGAAGCGATCGGGTCGTGCGTCCTATACATATTATATTGAAATCGCTCCCAATATTCTCAATTAAGTAAATCTTTAAGATGAAAAGAGTTTAGTTTGTGTAGTTGCTCGTAAGTCTGCGCACGGTGTGAATGAAACGTGGTCTTTATCAGTTTGTTATTTTACGTTTGGAAAATCCGCTACACTGTTTACGATCTTATGCGAGGCTTTAAGTTAACAGATATAAGATTATTTAAACAAACAAGCCACCAGCAAAGGTGTTTTATAAAAGAGAGGTAGAAGTAAATTGGTTTAGGCTCTCGGTTATCGTCAAGACATTTAGTAAAATGAGCTCGCAAGGTAAAAGCAGTCTGGGAAGCTGTGATAGTGATGAGAAGAAATATGAACTTGTGCCTCCGGAGGGTGGTTGGGGCTTCGTAGTGTGTGTGGGCCTATCTGTTATTTTTGTAAGTAATATTTTTTATATATTTTTACAATAACTTTAGGTTTATAACATTTAATTTTAAAATTCTTATCAATTTAACTGTACTAATGTTGCAATTCATTTTAATGATAGAAAATTTGTTAATATATTTCTAAATACATATCGTTATCTTCAATTATAACAATGATTAAGATTTACATTTAAGTTTTTAACAAATCGAACTAACAATATTAGACGAACAGTTAAACACGTACATATAATACGCAACAATGACATATCGTTCATTTTTAATATGGCCTATTTTTGTATAATAATGTAAGCATATAATATTTCAATTATGTTTAATAAGCACAAATTAAACTACTGTTGCGATTTAGTGACATTCATGTATCATCTTTTTTGTACGCACATACCCATGTGTATATTTATAATAATACTAGCCGAAACCTCGGCTTCGCTCGCGCTAAAACTACAAAAAAAACTTTAAAAAGTTAGATTTCATACAAACTTTCATCCCCTATTTTACCCCCTTATGAGATGAATTTCGAAAAATGCTAAAACACGTATTTATTTAATTGTATTGAAGATCAACCAAGTTTCAAGTAATTTCTGATCATAAATATTTTTTTGACTTGTATTATAACGTGCTTTCCTGTGGGAATGACATTATATCCCGCAGTAAAAGTTTATGTCACTCTCCAGCGCTCCAACTATCTCCATACAAAAAATTACGCCAATCCGTAATTCCGTTTCCACGTGAAAGAAGGACAAACAACAAACAAACAAACACTTTCACATTTATAATATATATAATTATATATAATTTTTTACATATATTTTTATATATATTTATAATTATATATAATTTTTTATGATCAAATTATAGCTTATGAAATTATAAAATATACAGTGTTGTATTTGCTATTTAAGGTTACATTTTTGAGCAATAAGTGTGCATGTATTGGCACTTATGCCTACTGATTATTTGAGAAATAATTTAATAATGAAATCTAATCTATTTATTCCAAACTTTATTTACTTAAAAAATATACTTATTTTTATTAATAATCTTATCATAAAAAGTCACTTTTAATAAAAAAAATAAACGTATATAATGCAATTTTTCTATTTTATTTACCAATATTCAAACAATATATAAACAAAATATTTTATAATTCTTTTTCTTTGAATTATCATTCTGTGTTATTTATTTAAGGAAAATATTGTAAAAAACTCTATATACATAATAATTATAATTGAATGCACTCAATAACACACTTTGATACTGTAATGTATGTGATGTAATACACTACTGTTTTTGATAGAATTCGTATTTTCATAAACAATACTGTATTTTAAATTTAATACATTAATAATTAATTTTTAAAATAAATATATGCAATTATTTTAAATAAAAGAAAAAAATAATATAATATTTTAGTAATAGAGAGATCCTAGTGACTGTTACTTTTTTGTTCCTAAGATGTATCACCTACAATCTACATATTATTATGTATACGTAAAACTAGCGGTACGCGGATATTGTTCGCAATTTCATGGCTTTTCATTCTTTGCGCGGAACCCTAATCCAGTCACGTGGTTGAATAAAATCAGCTATCTGCCAGTGAAAGCTCCGTCAAAATCTGTCCAGCCGTTTCGGAGGTTAGCCAGAACAAACAGACAGACAGACGAAACAATTTTTTTTATTATAAGTGCACGATATACTTTCATATGTATTTATTAAAAAGATATTTTTGGACATTATTTTTTTTACATTATAATTACAATATATTACATTATACTTTTGACATTACAAACATACACTTCAATTTTATTTATCTGTATAGATGTATATGCAATATAAAAAAAGACAAAATATACATATATACATATATGTCGATCATTGGTGACCCGAATTCATTTACAGTACTAAAAACTGGTAACAGTTAAATTATTTTTGTCGGTGTCAATTTAAAGAAGTTTTGTGCCGCCGCTGTCGGTTAAAAAGTAATATTAAATATTGTTTATTTTATCTTTTACGAACGTTTACGTGTTATAAAAATATGCATATAATTACTAGCGTCGACTATTTTACGATCTCCTAGCAGATAAAGCTTCTGCGAAAATTCGAAATTCACGAAGGCTTTTAAGCGACCTTCTCGTTTAAGTCCAATTATTTCACAAATAAACATGCAAATATACTTATGTTAATTGTTTTTTAATGTATTAAATTTTAAAAAATTAGTATACAAGATATAAACGAAACGGACTTTATTTTATCAAAAGCTGAGCGATTTTTATTTATTTTGTTTTTTTTCTTTTAATATTTTAATCATTTTTATTCAATAATAAAATAAGGATAAAAAAAACAGTTTATTTCAGTCGGGAGTTTGATTATTTAAAAAAAATTGCGAGTGTAACCTTTACGCGCGGTTGAAGTAAAACTTTAAAGTAAAGAGTAGTAGAGGTAGATACAGTAATTAAATTAAAACAAATCAAAACACATATATATATATATATATATATATAATATTTTTTTATAAAATCATGACTAGTAAAAAAATATTCATTTTTATAAGTAATTATTACTAACAAATATATATTTTCATAAGTAATAATTATAAAAAAAATATAGATATAATAATTAAAAAAAATTATCAATAATAAATTTGACTTTCACTTCCGTGATACTCTCTTTTTCCAATATATTGACTTACCTTTCAGTCACGCCTAAAGAAGTTTTACTTTAACAACATAAATAAAATATTGTTTGACAAAGGTAATAATTTATAGTATCTATGGTAGGTATTATTAATATTAATTAGCAAAATATTTTTAAAAAGAATAGAAAAACAAGAATAATTACGTTTTATTTGACTTAATATAAGTAGTTAGTTAGTAGGCAGTGGTAGCCCAGTGGTAACCCGCTCGCTTGGGAAACCGAGTAAAGCGGGTTCAAATCCCGGGTCTCGCACCTCTGATATTTTCACATGCGAATCATTTCTAACATGATTACCACTTGTCTTACGGTGAAGGAAAACATCGTGAGGAAACCTGCATGTTTGAGAGAACCTAGCAAGTTTTCAAAAGACATGTGAAGTCCGCCAACCCGCACTTGGCTAGCGTGGTTGACTATGGCCTGATCCCCCTCGTACTGAAGGGAGGCCCGTGCCCAGCAGTGGGACGTTAAAAAAAGGGCTGAATACAATACAATACAATACAAGTAGTTAGTTAAAATCATGAGGGGCAACTATATATGACATTAAAATTTCATTGTATTAATAACCGACCCCAAGTAAAAATGGAACAAATAATGATGTTTAATCTATATAAAAATAGGCAGCCAAAAGAGTAATACTAAATAGTAAGTAATACGTTTTTGTCCTCTGTCTGTTATTTTATTTTCATTTTTTTGTTTCGTGGCCGTTGACGATGTTTAGTGTTATCAATAAAAAAAATTGCCAACATTTTTTTTATGTAAAAATTAATCCTATTCTATATTGAAGTTTTCCTCTAGGAGTCTAGAACATCTAGTTTATTATAGCTGACGTAACGTAACGTGTAACGACGTAACTTCAAAAATTACTTGCGCGCAAAATAAAATTTTATTCCCTACTAGCGGCTCACCCTCCCTTCGCTCGGGTTCGTCGCTTGGTACGTTTTAAATAGATATAAATAGTTATTAGCCAGCGTTAGCCATATACATTTTTATTTTTTATTTTGTTAATTTTTCATTTTTTTTCTTTATTAAAACCTTTCGTGGACTTTAAGGAACATACGAAAAAAATTTAGCCGAATTAGCCTAGCCATTCTTGATTTATGCGCTTACCAACATCCATTTTTATTTATATAGATTTGACACTTTTAGGAGGTGAATTTTGAAAAAAAAAACATTTCTTGTTCCTAACCTTTTAATTTTAGGCTCAGTGGTTAAATTGCTCATTTTCATAGATTAATAATATCTTTTTAAAACATACTTTTTAATTTATTTAAGAGGTATTGTACTTCAGATATTAGGCATTGACAAATTCTGCTTCTTCCATCACCTATTAAATATGTAGGTCAATTTATTCAATAAAAGGACAATTTTTATTTCGTAACGGTTCGTCCGGAATAACGGCTATTCAATACTAAAATATTTTATTGAACGGAAACGTTTTGCGTTCGAAGAATGATAAACGATTTTTGGGTCTGACTTTTAGATGGAAGGATTGACCTTTTAAATAAAACTATCTTTTCGGATTATTTCGCGGATTTATTTTGATTTTTGGTTCCCGGCGTTTCGAATGCTTTATAGCATCCATGGTCACGGGAGAGACTGAGGTGTTACATGTCTTGAAGGTATAGTTGTTACAGACAGCCTGTTAATTGTAGGTAGGAACCAAAAATCAAAATAAATCCGCGAAATAATCCGAAAAGATAGTTTTATTTAAAATGTCAAATATTCGCGTAAATCTAAGAAAGTACCTATTATGGAAGGACTTATTTTTTAAATATTTGTACGAATTTTATATAGCCTAGTTAGGGCCGTAATAGGTCTTTTGTTTGTTATCTAGAGATACATTTTAAGATATTGTTTTTGTTGTCATATATGTATTTATGTAGTTGATTATGATCTTTTATAGAACTAGTAATTAACCGTTAGTTATGAGTTACCTATGAGTTTTATTAAAATCGTTTTTTCATGTTATACTTCTTTTGGCACGTTTGGAAAAAAATATATATAATATATTTATAAAATAATATGTTTTAAATTAAAGTGAATATAGTATGTTATCCTTAAGAGATAGACATATTATGCCATCGCGGACTTTTCTGTAGACCTATATAAGGTACACAATTCCACTATACAATATTTTGTTATTGTTGAAAGCTCCCAGACGGCTTATTTTTTTCCGACACCTCCAACAAATATCGTTATATTAAGCGAATGTATACAAAAACTTAACAAATTATACACTAAAACCTTCCTCTTGAATTACTCTATCTACTAAAAAAACCGCATTAAAATCGGTTTCGTAGTTTTAAAGATCTAACCATACATAGGGACAGATATGTACATAGTGGGAAGCGAATTTGTTTTATAATATACTAGCATTGCCCGCGGCTCCGCCTGCGTTCAGATGACCAAAAACCAAATTCTTAGGTTTTACATATTAGTATACTCTTGCATTGCAGTTCTTGTTTTTTTTTCTCAGAAATGAGATATTTTCCCGCGGTAAAAAGTATCCTATATGTTCATCCGGATAACCAGCTATCACTATACAGACAGACAGACAAAAATTCTAAAAACTATAGATTCGGCCTCTGCATCGATAATAATGTATATTTCAATAAGATTTTCCAAAAAATATTTAATGTACAGATTAGGCTTAGTTATAATATAATTATAGGTATGCATAGATGAGTCATTAATTAATAACAAAAATTTTCCTCTTTTATACTTCTGTTACAAAACATAAAATATAACAATATAAAACTTGCTTAACACTTAAATAATTAATTATTATTATATTATACATATAAAAAATATAGTGCATTTCAATCTGACTGTAACTTTGCCATTGGCCGTCGCGTCGCCGCGCCGTACAGATAAAATATCCAAAAATGGTGAGTGCTTTATCTCATTATAATATAAAAACTGCCATTTAAAATATGGCTGAATATTTTAAAGAGATGAATAAATAAACATACGTAACGTTATATATTTATTTAATCAATATAACAGATATGATAGCTATTAAGAGACGTAAAATATATTACTCACGAAATAGGTAAATCTCGCGACGAGCTTTCATATCCTATAAATGGTGTAATATAATAAATTGATGGATTTGATTTAAATGAAAGTTTATTTTTTTCTTTGATTTTCAGAGCATTTAAATAAAAGCTTGTTTTAAAAAATGTTTTTTACAATTAATTTATTCTTCCATTCAAACGTCTATCGGTGAGTATAGCTCTTGGGACTAGACTATCGTTGATGTTGAAATAATAGAATAAAATTATAAATAAATAATAATAAATTAAGCATAATTCGATTGACTTGAAATAATTAAATAAACAATATTATAATTTAATAGATACAACAATCAATTTAATATCTTTAAGTTTATTTTTTTAAAACAAAAGTAAAATACTTCGTATTTTAAAAATCATTTTTCGGTAAGTACTCGTAAGTATTAAAATTATTAATTACATTTTATTTGTTTTTGTTACATATGGACGTATTATGTTGCCTTGACAAAAATGCTATCTGACATGCTATTTTATATAATATAAGCAAAACAAATTTTATTTCTTATAATTACGTGATTGACCTTAGAGTGTACATTACGTATACTTTAAGTGATTGACAGACTAGTGTGGATAGAACCTTAAAATTTATATCCTATCAAAGTAAAATAACATCTACACTAAACGAGTGGTTCGACTATTGTTAAAGATAATATAATATAAAATTATTTCAAGACGAATTGGACCTTAAGATCCGCCATTTTAATTTTTAATGATATCTATATATCCTATGACAAATTCAAAAAAAAATGTTAAAGAACATTTGTGTGCTAAAGACTATTTATTATACAATTAATGATTTTATAGAAGATGGCACGCCTTGGGAATGAAGTGATCGCCTCCAGGCTACTTCAACTTCGTAGAAATATTGTAATTTATAATTTAACTTTATAGAAAAGATAACGTAATAATATTAGTATTAGCCTCAGGTCTGAGGCTTCTTCTTTCCGAACTGATAGTAGACTCATAACGTTCAGTAAAAAATTGTAATAAATTAATGCTGAATAAAATATTTTGAATTTTAATCTAACGACATATGAATCAACAAAATCGGTTTAGCCGTTTAGTATTTACGTGGGAATATAGGATCGGACATACAGGTTAAACACATAGCCCTCATTTCCCAGTTTCGCCGCAGTCAGGTAAAAATAATACTGAACATATATCTGTATGAAATAAAAAGAGAAACGAGTAAGTAAATGCCGAAACAAACATGTTATTATTGGAAAAATAGCTGTTATTGACAACCAGTTAGTTGAAGTTAATAATTGTGGTTGTAGTTATTAAACTAATACTTTAAAATACGACTAAGTAACATAGTCAGTCAGTCTATTTATTGAGATTTTTTGTCTCCACAGACGTTTGACGTTAAGCGTAACCACAGATCACTTATTATAATAGGTGTAACTGTCATATATGTGACACCGATATACAAAACATTTTTTTTTTGTTCATCGCAAACATTTACAGTTATGGTTTTAACGACTAGTGATTAGTTTCAATGAGTTTTTATAGTCTTTGATAGTTCAGTAACCTCCTAAAATAATAATTTCGCGACACTATTGAAGTCTATTAAAGTCTATTAATATATATATATATAGTAGTATATCATTGATTAAACATCAATCACAGTGATATTAAATATGCAAAAGTTTGTAAGTCAGTGTACGTTTATGTTAGTTACTTTTTCGCTGTAACGCGTCTACGAATAGAAATATGTAAAAGGAATAACATATCTTGTATTTTAATAAGCTTTTTTTTAGTGTCCCACTGCTGGACACAGGCCTCCCTTCAATATAAGAAACTTCACGTATCTTTTGAAAACTTGTGAGGTTCTCTCAAACATGCAGGTTTCCTCACGATGTTTTCCTTCACCTTAAGGCAAGTGGTAATCATGTTGGAAAATGATTCGCACGAGAAAATATCAGAGGTGTGAGACCCGGGATTTGAACCCGCTTCACTCGGTTTCCCGAGCGAGCGTTTTACCACTAGGCTACCACTGCCTTTATTTTGTATTAACACAACTTATTCTTATCAATATTTATACGCCGCAAGCACGGGCGTTTTAACAACAACAATAACATTATTTATCGGTACTGAAATAAAAAAATATTTAACGCTAATGGGATTTTGTACTTTTATGGTAAAATTCGTTATACTGAATATTGCGAGATTTACAACACATTACTTTTACTCTTATTTTTGCCATTTACATAATAAGTAGAAACTTGGATCACAATCCAGTAAAAAAACTATTATTTTATACGAATCACAATAAGTTTGAATAGCAGATAGAAGGACTTCTAAAAATTCTTTTAATCCACCTTTCATGTCTCAAAGGAAATTTTACTATTTTGACCCAGTTACGTATTTTACGTACATTTAACGTTCGAGTGGGTTCTTCGCGTCATCTCAGTTTGAAATCTCTCGGTTGGTTTGAGCTTTTGACAAATGTTCGAACAATTAAAATTAAAATGATTATTTGATGGAAAATTATTTAAGATATTTAGCAAATAATAGAAGGCGTATCTTCTTAAATTTCAAATCGCACCACTCAGAAACGTTAAATGTATTTCTAGGATTTTTTTATGGACGTATATGTATTTCTGTCACTACCATTTTTTTGGGAAATGGCCAAAGCAGGTTGCTAACTAACAATGTATAATATATTTAAAGGCAAAGACAAAACAGCTCAGTGCCTTTTGCTCCTCTGTTCGATTTTCTAGTTTTTTGGAGAGTAGTTATTGACGAGGCATATAACATTAATATCAAAAAAAAAATATTGGAGACAGATAGTTTTTTCTTTTATGTAATGATTATGGTCAAATTACGACCACTGAGCGAATGTTAGTACTTAGTTGATAATTATGTCATTTTGGTTACAGATAGCAGGGACTGCCCATCAACCTGTTTTTGGTTTCATATACAATGACTTCTTAGACGAACTAGGCGTTGGAACTGGCGCCGTCACAGTTGTATATGGCGTGTTTCAAGTCACACTTGCAATTTCCGGTAAGTGTTTATTATCTAAGTGACCATATATTTCATTTATATTTTGTTTAAGTACAGAGATATGTAAATTATGTAATAAAGAGACATCAATATTACTTTGACTTATTGGTGAAATAGTTTTAATGGGATATTAGTGTATGGCAAATAAAAACGTGTGTATAGGTTTTACTTAATGAAAGTTAAAATAAAATATTGCTATAACCAAAATATTCATATTATAGACTAGTTTCAAAATAAATACTCAATAATCCATTTAGACACTTTTTGAGGAAAATGACTGTGACATACGGATAGACGGACAGAGATGACGATATTATAAGGGTTCTGTTTTAGTCTCTTAGCACGGAACTCTAAAAGCCCAGTAAGGATACCGTCACTTATTACATATAATGTCAAATAAAATATATTTATTTAATAACTTGATTGAGCTCCGCTGCTTTTACAAGATTTCCTGTTACTATGGAAACATGGCGCCAGATAACACTCAGACCATTTATGTCATTATTTATACTTGTTATATATGTATACTCATTACATAGTTAACTAAAATAAAATGGGAACGTTTAACTATGATTGCGAGTATGTTATTATTTTGAGGCTTATTTAGTTAATTACACATATTATGTATCGCATTCGTCTTGTTGACATGGAACTTGCATCCTTGTGTTATATAGCTAGTTTGTTTTGACTTTCGACATTTTTAATGGAAGACATTTAAGGCCGGCCATACACGGACTGCTCGAGCAGTTAGCCAGTTAGTGAGAGGCTAGGTCATAGGTTTTTTCTATACAAATATTATAAAGAGGTAAAGTTAGTGAGTTTGTGACGTTGTCAGGATCTACTGAACCGATTTAGATGAAACTTGGTATGAAGGTAGTTTGAGACCCTGGGAAGGATATAAAGTACTTTTTATTTCGGAAATCATCCCTTAAGAGGGTGAAAATGGGGATAAAAATTTGTATTGGGAACGACGAACCCGAGCGAAGCGAGGGTGAGTCGTTAGTTTTAATATAAATATTAGTTTATATCTAAGCAAATGTTCTATGTAAAATACGTTAAATAGGATAAAACTTTCTGTGTATAATTTTAAAATAGCTTCACCACATTTTTAGTTTCACATGCTCGTCGTAAACTTAAAATAAACTAGTACATACCAAAGAAATTCTTTTTCGTTATTCACATAAAATAAGAAAATTCCATTCGAAAGTTTTGATTTAGTTTTTATTACTTCTGAAAGGTTTTGCAAATAAACTTTTTTTTAGTAAACATTTCTGTAGATGTGACTAGAGCTTTAATACTTTTATTTGCCGTTTGCGCGTAACTTTAGAACAGTTTGATTTCATATAGTGCCATATATTACTACTAGTGACTCATCCTCGCTCCGTTCGGGTTCGTTCCTAGTTACGTTTTAATGTTTAGCATAGATTTCTCAGAGATGACATATTTTCCCGCAGTAAAAAGTGTCCTATATGTTGACCCGGATAACCAGCTCTCATCATACGAAATTTTATCAAAATTTCGATATCAATAATAATGACTATTTCAATAAGAATTTCCAAAAAAAATGTTTATAGTACAGATTCAACTCAGAATTTTATTACATGTATAGATATAACACTTATGTAGCGATTAAAGGAACTTGGCATTTACATGTTTAATAACTATTGTATGCAAAAAAGTTCGTTTTACAAGAAAATAATTCAATAAATATAAGAAATTCGTGTGGTAAGTTTATAGCTTTACTTTTACTGCCTGTAAATATTGCTGACATCGTTAAAAAGTCTTATAGTTAATTTCGCTGTACATAGTCCTGAAACGGTTCGGTCGCTTAAGTGTTAATGGAATTTTGGTGTCTGTGTTGACATTGTTTGAAGATTTCATTATTTAGCATGACAGTACACTAAATATAGCAAGAGAGATTCTAATATTTTCTTATTTGAACGTATTGAATAAGCCTTTTTGGACGAATTCAACAAATAAGAGGTATGCTTTTGTATGTATATTGTACGATATCTTCGTCAATTATAAATAGATTATACCTCAAGGATTATAAAAAAACACATATGAGGGGGGGATAACAACTTGTAATAGATTGTGAAGTCGGCATACCTTTTTTTGAAGTTATACTTCTTTTGTCACGTTTGGAAAAAAATATGAGAGAAAAATTTTTTTTACAATACGCGCGCACACCGACAGCAAAAAAGCGACATGATAAAGTAAGCTGCATTCCTTTTACAAACAGAGAGTTGTGACAAACGGGATGAAATCTTTAATTATTTTTGTTCTGTTACGCCAAAGAAGTATAAATTCTTACGTGCGTACATAAGTTCACACACACGTTTTTTGTTAAATAATTAATATGTAATATATATTATAATTTTATAAGTCCATAACTATTAAACAATACTATTATTTTCGCTGTACTTGAAAGCGCATAAAACGAACGTAATTATTTTCCGTATGCTAAAAAGTCATCTCTTAGACGTATTTTGCGCTTTTTACAGCTTTTTCCACTGGAACAGTAGCTTAACTATCTTCAATCATGCTTTATTTAACTAGAGATTTAAGTTTTAGATGAGGCTTTAGTGGTAAGCCTAATAGACTTGAGGTATATTTTTGTTATTTTGTTATAAATTTTAAGGAAGAGTTAATATTAAACAAAAACAGTATATTAATATTTATCTATGTTTATCTATTTGATAGGCTATATATGAAATTGTAAACAAAAGGATATAGTTGGTTACTTACAATTAGTGTAACATATTGTATTTATGATATATTATTTTGTAAATATATACCTAGGTTTTATTTAAGCAATAATGTCACAATCTTTTAATTTACTTTAAAATAAATGTACCTATATAAATTTATATTATTATTATTATTATTCAAGTCTTATAAAATTTTTTTTTCACTACTCCCAATTAAATGGATCTGTAAATTAATTTACATATTGTGTTTTAATTTCGTTTTGTTACCCAATAATATTACCCATACATACACCTACACAAAATATGTAATCATTGATATTTGATAACTCTACTCTGTTTTTCCAATTTTTTTTAATTACCCGCAGACTAAGTATATGTTTTTGTTTCAGGTTTTTCATCAAATATAGTACTAAAAAAGTTATCTTTGCGTCAAGTTGGGCTTATTGGAGCATTCATTTATACACTTGCTTCGTTTCTAGCAATTTTCGTAACGTCTACGACACAGTTAATTATAACGAATGGATTCCTACAAGGCTTGGGAATGGGCTTACTCATTCCAGTGTCGTACACAAGCTTCAACAGCTACTTTACAAGGAAGAAAGTACTTTATTTAAGTCTATGTAAGGCATCTATTGGCTTGATAACAATGGTGTATCCATTGTTTATTAAATTTACCATAACGGAGTATGGTTTTAGGGGAACGTTAGCTATCCTCTGTGCGATATCAGCACATAGTATTTTTGGCGCTCTAGTCATGCATCCTGTACAATGGTACATGGTCAAAAGGATGAAGTCCTGCGAAAAGATTGTTCGTAAGTACCTATATTTTATTAATTATTACAAAACAATTTGTTTAATATAAAAAAAATCCCAAAGAGAGTTGATGACAGACAGGTGATGGTCGTAAAACTTTTGCCAAAATAGATCACCTGCACCGAAGATTATTATTATGATAATTGCACTTACAGTCTAAATGGACATAGCTTATCTGTCTATATCTTATATAAGGGGTAACATATTTTTAGTTAATAAGCCATATTATGAGAAATTAACATTACGAATAGTGCAAATACTATCAGTAAAATTGAATACAAAAATAATATTAAATTTCAGTTATTCCTCCGACTCCAGCAACGGAAGATGACCACGACAAGTTTAATTTCATAAAATCAAACATCACAAATCAAGACACAAAATCCGTACAAAATTTGTACTCTAGAAATATAACTGAAACGCATAAGGACTCAGGGTTACTGTTCATTCCAAAATTAGACTCAAGAAGGCTGAGTATACCTGTTGTCCTCATCCCTAGTGATGGAAGGACGGATAGTAATTTTAATTCCAGTGATAATGTATATATAGAGAATTTGTTTAAAGCAGCCTCTGTGTCAAGTTTAGGGAATTTTGGCAATATCGCTGTAGAACCTATGCCAATTGTGAAAAATAAAGAAGGCAAATGGTAAGTTCAGTTTTATAGTTTATAAACCATTAGATATAAAGAAATTAAATTTTATCATAACTATTTTTTTTTGTTCCAGGCAAACAGTAGCAGAGTATTTAGATTTAACACTACTAAAAGACTTGGTCTACGATAACATTATATTCGGGATGGCGCTTACGTTTTTTGCTGATTTGACATTCTTCACTTTGGAGCCATTATTTTTAGATAAAAATAATCTCAGCAAGGTAAATAATTAGAAATATCTTACATCTTTAGCCCTATCTGAAAATTGAACAATTTTTTTTTAAAATGTAAACGTCCACTAGAAGTTGAGGGTGATTTTCAGCAGAAATGGCTAAGCATTTCAGTTTAATTTCATTTATTTATTTATTTATTTATTATATGTATTTCGAAGATTATATTCCCTTAGTTTCATGGAAATCAAAAGATTATTCTAGAAATTAAAAATAAAAAAACAAAGAAACAGTTAAAAACTGATTTTTTTGCAGATATCTCGAAAACTTTGAGGTTATTGTAAATAATTTTATTTATAAAAGTTGTAGATTTCTACTAGACCTACAACTTTTGTAGCAAACATTTGTCGTTACAAAGCCACAGTAAGCCGGAAATTGAAAAAAAACTATTTTCAACGCTTTTCGTGCCCCCATTTCTCTGGGGTAGCATGGGGCATTTTACGAATTTCTATTCCTTATATACCTGCTAACATTTTAAAATCATAAACTTCAGGTTTTCAATATTTTGTTCCCAAACCGGATTCCGACTGGACTATCATTAACGAAGCGGTATACAAATTCTGACGTACATGAGACAACCGAATGAGTATCTTAATAACCTTGCGATTGAATCTTCAAACCGTTAAAGTTGTCTAACGTTACGCAATACCAGCACATCATTGCCTTTTACATTAAAACACATTTAAATATAATAATATTAAATTACAATTTTACTTAAGCCACTGAATGATCTCCAAAGAGTTCTTAATATTATATAAGAATAATTTTTAATAGAGTCATATTGCGTAATATTATATAATGTTAGAGCTGTGAGCATTTTTGCGTATAGTTTTTATTTGTACATTATATATTAGGGGACCAATTTAAGAGGTCGTGATATGGAAATCTAGTAATTCATGTTATGCATAAATTATTAGATTTAAGATAAAATATTTTATAAATAGGATAAAATTCGTGTTAAAATCATCACATCAATATTTTAGATTTGTTTTTTCATATTAGGCGTTGGTGATTGTGCAAAGAAGTACATAAAAAATCTATAAGCATTCTTAATATATTATTATTAAAATCCTTAAAAAATCCTAGTATAGAAATACTTAATACAGTTTTTGACCGATTTTATAAAAGGAGGAGGTATTTATATTTCAATGTATCTTTTTGTGTTTATATTAAGCATCGCCTTTGCTAATCGTTGACCGAAATATCATGAATTTTACCTAAGGGTTGAATAAATGCTATGAAAATATTTTTTAAGTTAGTAAACATTGTTAGTTAAAAATATTATCCAATAAAATTTCAAAATAAATTTTATTATAATTATATACTATATTTTTACCAGCCAGCAGCTTCTACAATTGTATTCGGAAGCTCGGGATAAAAAGAAAAAAGTGTGCTTTGATTAAAATGAATCTTACGTGTTCAATTAGAACTCATACAATTAACAGTTTCAAAGTTATGTGCAACTGACAGATAGTCAAAATTAAAAATCGTGGTTTTAGCTTCTCTTGAATACCTAAATATCACTTAACCATTATTTTTATTAAGAGTATACAATTTAATATTTAATTTTTATATTGTATTGATTTAAAAGCGTGGAATGCTCTGAAACGAGTTCACGTTTATTTAGATGTTCAAAATTATATCCGATAAAAGATTGAAATAAAAATAAAACCAGTATTTTAAACACTCTCTAGATTATCTTATACGTGTAAGGATTTGAATAAAATTAAGGCTCTAAATTATGGATCTAATTTTAATATTATAAAACCTGATGCGAACATATTTTTTTTAATCTTACAATCTATTTATGAGAAAATATTAAAGATAAGATCAGTATTTTTACTGATCAATCATAGTATGTTTCTAATATGGTAATAACGTATTTTCTTCGCTTCTTTGGTTCGCTTCCTAATATTTTATAATATTTAAATGACATAAACTAAATAAATAAGTAATATGTTAGCAATTTAAAAAATTAGAATCCTAAGTCAGGTCAGAATTTATAGGAGTATTATTCTGTAACTTTTTATATATTTCACTGAACTGCTGAATTCACTACCTTATTTCAAATATATTTATATCTACGAATAAATAATTATTTATTCGTAGGTTTATATAGCTTCAGTTATTCTATAAACTATAAGTAAGTATGTATAATAAATAAAATATTCCTGTGAATATTATATTTTGGTAAAACCAAAAATGGTGAAGGTATTTAATAATTTGTTTTATATTTATATTTAATTTATATGAATTTTTTTTTGATTAAAACGTCGGAATTCTTTAAAAAAAATCAAGTTAAAATCCACCACATAAGGTCCACCACCTAATTTTTTAGTCGGTGTACACTGTACATATATTTTAAATAAAGAAAGTAAATTATCCTTTATCGATAAAGAACACTAGCAATATGCTTAGTGTTCTAAGTAGACTTTATGTTATGGCGTCATCGTTAAACATGAAGTAATACCGTTAAGCGTTTTATATGTTACAGCTATTACATATAGTTTTATTATTACGTGACGTTAAAAATATCTATACCATATTTTGAAGGTCATGTGAGGATCACATGTTAGCATGTAGACGATGTGTCTCATAAAAAGACTGAGGTATTTCATATTAGACATCACCTAAAGAAGGACCGGTTACAGAATAAACGACCTCGCAACTAAAAATTCTGAGCATCGACTTGGGCCGTTATTCATTCGTCTCGATAGGCTTCATTTATTTAGTACTAACACTACACTCAGCCACTAATTACTTTTTTGTTTTTGAAAAGAAGAAAGCTCAGACAAATTTTCGAATATACTAATTCTAGCTGTATGTTTTCTTTTTGTTCATTAATTCGCAGAAACTATATGTGTAGATTCCACAGTTAATTACAAGTTCTAGAAGTGCTTTTTTTGTAAGTTACGAAAGTCTAATACACTTTTATATTTTGAGGTTCGAAAACACATTTTCTTTCCCAGGCTCAAAAATATTGTAAATATGTTTAATACAAATTATAAAATCATTAAAAGTGATTTTTTGCTATCGGTACTATTTAAAAAAAATGTATTTATCGTAATCTTAACATATAAAAGAAATTACACAATACTTTAACTAATTCTTTCATAGAACTTTTATCTTTTTTACCGAGCAAAATAAAAAAGCTTTTTTAGTTTTGTATGAAAGTATTTGTGTAGTAATTGTATAGTAAATTTAACCCTAAAGTTAGACACTTGTATAACCCCTTTTCGTTTCAAGGTAGACAAAGGCAACACAATACAGCAAAATTTAAGTTACTTGTTTAAAATTCCGAATTGAGTCCTTTGGCTTTTCCAACAAAATAGAGCAATAAGCTTTCAAGGAACGTTCGTGTTTAGGACTTATAGTACCTATGAAAATTTATAAGTATAAAACATTTAAGTTTATTGAAATTTCTTTTATAACTAACATTAGTAAACTATTATCAATTATTGCCTAATCATTTGAAATAAATATTCAAGTTATATTAAATATTAGCTTTTGCCCGCGGCTACGCTCGCGTACCTTATCTCTATACTAATATAATATTATAAAGAGGTAAAGTTTGTGAGTTTGTGATATTGTGAGTTTGTGACGTTGTAGGGGGTAATCTCTGGATGTACTGAACCGATTTAGATGAAATTTGATAAAAAGATAGTTTGAGACCCTGGGAAGGACATAGAATACTTTTTATCCCTGAAATCATCTCTTAAAGGGGTGAAAATGGGTATGAAAATTTGTATTGGTTAACAAGCTCGCTACTATGATATGTAGCCTTGCTCTCAGGGTAACTCGCTCCTGATTTTAGCGTGAATCTAGATGGTCTATAGTCTCCTTTAATAGACAGGCTATAAAATAAAAAAAACGAATTGTTGAAAAATTTAGTTAATTTAGTTTTATTTTCATTTGTTCAGGTCAGAGATTAGATCGTTCGAAGAAATAAAAACAACATATTTATATCTCACTAGCGACTCACCCTCGCTCCGCTCGAGTTCATCCCTAGTTACGTTTTAACGTTTACTTTAGATTTCACAGAGATGAGATATTTCCCCGCAGTAAAAGTGTCCTATATGTTGACCCGGATAACCAGCTATCATCATACCAAATTTCATCAAAATCTATCCAGTTGTTTTCCCGTGATGCGGTAACAAACAGACAGTCAGATAGACAAAAATTCTAAAAACTATAGATTCGGCCTCTGTATTGATAATAAAGTCTATTTCAATAAGATTTACCAAAAAATATTTAATGTACAGATTCAGCTTAGTTACAATTTTATTATATATAGATAGATAGATAATTGGGACACGCGTGCCATGTTTATATTTAAAAAAAATCAAATAAAGGGATAATTACATAGTATTATTTCAGTTCCACATTTTGTTTTAACTATATAATGAGCAGCCAACCTTGCCACGACCTTTAATAATAAAGCAGACCTTTACCGAGCTTATGAGTTGACTTAGTAATACTTTAATTATGTAATTTGTTTACTTTATGTTTTTTAATCTATTCTGACCTGTTTTTGTATACAAAATGTCCGAAAATCTACTTCGAATTTCATACTAGTTAGTACAATAACTGTTCATTTTGTCAATTTTCGTTTAAGCCGCTGAACAGATTTCGATAAAAATTGGCAGTTTCATATTTAAATTCTGATTACATTATTGACATAGGTTACAGGAAAATTCTAGTTTATAATTAGATACTTATATGATATGGGTTATATGTTTATTGAGTGCAAATGATATATTCTAAATTGATCACCTCAAAAAATTTTGATTGCTTCCATTTTTATGTATGTTACGCAATATGTTCGCCGATTGTCATTTGATTTTCAAGTACGTATAAGTATACTAAGGTCTCATATAAAATTCAACAAAATGTTGATGTAATTAAATATTCCAATAGGTTTTAAAGTTTATGCCTCCTTTTTAGTAAGAAAAAACAATTATTATTTACTAGCGTCGCTTCGCTTGGGTGCGTCCCAAGGAGCCTAGCAGTCATTTTTTTTTTATTCCAGGTTACAGTCTATCTGTGTGCCAAATTTTATCCAAATTCGTGCAGCCGTTTTAGCGTAACGAACGTATACAAACTTTTTTATATTTTATAAATGTAATCAATGCAAGCCATATTGCTATTATTACCAAGTCGTGTAAGACAATGAATTTTATATGTACTGTAATCGAAATCGTCAATTTAAATTAAAAATAATTATTCACTTAGAATCCTATCAGTATGATTGTAATATGTGGATTAAATAATAATTCGTTTTAATTCGTCATAAAACAAATTATACGTGCCTGTGATATCCTACTAATATTATAAATGCGAAAGTTTGTGAGAATGTATGTATGGATGTATGTTTGTTACTCTTTCATGCAAAAACTACTAAATTGATTTTGATGAAACTTTGCAATAATATTGCTCATACATCAGAATAACACATAGGTTATTTTATCCCTGAAAAAGTACGGTTCCCGTGGGTTTGATTTATTATCTTTTTCCTAGAGGCGAACCCAAGCGAAGCGAGGGTGAGCTACTAGTCTAATATTAATTTCATCACACACTATTTTTATATAAAATTTTAAAAATATTAGAATTCATTTATTTAATAGGCAAAGAGACATACACCCATACGTTTCACAACTAATGTACGTCACTAACACGTATATCACAAGCATTTAAAAACAAGTTATATATAATAAAGTCTTAGACGTAGAGAAGCTGACTCCCTGTTACTATTTTTATGTAAAATAATGTTTCTGTTAAGATCCTGATACATATAATTTTAGTAAAAAATGTGTAGGTGATATTAAAGTTATTTTTTCTTTGCAGGCTGAGATTGCTAACATAATAGCCATTGGTGGCGCTACAGACATGTCAGCGAGGTTATTACTCGGCTTTTCAGGACAGTTTTTCCGGTTAAATAGTCGTTATATGTTCTACGCTGGAGCTTTTCTAGCAGCTTTATTTAGAATAGGTAAGTTATAGCTTTTCATTTGAAAACGAAAGTTACCTACCTACTTGTACTTTTTTCATATGTCGTGCTAGTCAAACTTTTTTAATAATAATAGCAGATTCTTATTAATATTATTATATTTGATTCCCTATACAAACTTTTATCTCCATTTTCAACCCCTTAAGGGATGATTTCCGGAATTAAAAATATCCTATGCTCTTTCCAGGGTCTTAAACTATCTTTTTACCAAACATCTAAATCGGTCCAGTACTTTTTGAGTTTATTCGTTATAAATATACAAAAATACAAATCTTTCCTCTTAAAAATAGTTAATTGTATATAAAAGAGAAATATTACTGACAGATTGGCAAACTCATTCATGATTAATTAATCATGAAATCTCAAAAACCACGCATGCATTACATTTAGTCAAACAAAAGATAAAAAAGTTTATTGATTTCTATGTATTTGATATGAAACTTTTTTTTAATAATTGCCATTGTCAATCCACATGAACAAAGTCAAGGGCACATCCAGTTTAGTATTTTACTGGCAATATAGAATTAATTGCCATTCTAAATATATCCGGTAAAGAAAAGAGAATAAAATTAATTAAATACAAAATTAGTTACAATATTAAACCTTTTATTTACGAAACAATAATTACCAGCGTCAAATAATGTAACAAAATTAGAAGATAAAAGGCCTTTTGAATGAGTAAGATAGGTTTCCCAAACAATAGCTTTATTTCCCTTGTCGTGGATTCCTCGCATTCTCCACTCACTCGACGATGCTGTTACTAACGTGTTGTTCTCTCTTTATGTAGCTTTATTTGAATATTAGATAAATAAAAGAAGGTCTCTTAAAAATGGTCGTACCTTTTATGTGGTGCTATTTATTATAGAGGGAACCCAGACCGTTCTATACCAGTATTTTTGCTGATCTCAGGGATGTTTATTTGTATCTGGTAAAGGCGAGGTTATAGGTATAAATGAAAATAACACATAATTTTAGATTTAAATTGACTTTAGTCAGCTTGTCTTGCTACTATTTTACTTCTTTTTACCATAAAAACAATTTAAGTAATTACAATTAGAACCTGTCCTTGGATTTTGTTGATGCAATAAATTGAAAAAAATCGAGTAAACGACCAAAATAACTTTATATTTTAAATTAACATATTGTGTACCTACATTAATTTTAATACTCGAGAATATGTTTTTTGTAAATAAAATTTTATAATTCTGTATGTACATTTATCATGGATTTACGAAACGACGTTATTAGCAGAAAGCCTAGAACCAAATCACGTATTAGTAAAAACTATTTGTGATATCTTTGAATATAATCCTAAGAAAATTTACTGGAAAATACATAAAAACATGGAATTAAAAAATATTTAAGACATTTTTTTTTCAGTTTTCTCACAATTCACGACGTACCTTCCGTTACTGATACTAACGGGTATCCTGGGAGCATTGAGATCATTAGTTCACATAGCACAGCCTATAGTGATGGCTGACCATGTGCCTATAGAGAGGTACCCGCCGGCCTATGGACTCTACATGTTGCTAGCCGGAGCCATTAGCCTGAGTGTGGGACCTATGATTGGTATGTATACGAATTCCTAAAACATTTTGTTTATTTTTTTGTTTATTCATATCTATAAGACTAAAACCACTATACACGTGATTTAAATATTTTAATTTACCTTCTTGTTTGAATAACTGTTATACAGCTAAAGTATAAGTAGCTTACGTGGAATTAAGATGATTAAAAAATCACTTAAAATAATTGAGAAATAAACAAAAAATTGCCGACAAAGGCTGAACAGGGCAGTAGCCTTACACTCATTAAAATTATGATAAAAGTTTTATAAATGTAGAACATTATTTAAGTGAAATTTTGTAAAGAGAAGCGTAGAGAAAGTTGTAAGACTTTAGACCAACTTCTCGATTAATATTAAAGAGCTCGCTAAACACACTTTCCTGCTCGCTCGGAGGAAACAGCGTTCAAACTGTCGGAATATTTTAGTTAATGACTTGTTGAATTATAGATTCTTGTAAACTACTTCTGTTGTTAAATTTTTAGAGAAAACTAGAAATGGGTCAATTTTTTAATCAAATTTTATCTTACCAAAATCTTATACTTACTGAAAATCAACTTAGATATATCTATCTATATAGAATATATTATGTCAACTATTAAAAATCATATGATAAATATAAATAAAGTGCCAATTAATTATCTTCTTTCCGTACATAATGAATGGCATTTTAAAGTGGTATAACAACTTATAGCTCATTAATCATAATAAATAAGTAATAATACTATAAACACAAATAGTTTTAAAATCTTTCCATTTTATATTTCGTATACAAATTACTTTTAATTTTAATAAGTCCTAGCTTTTGCCCGCGACTTTTTTTTGAGTTTTTCGCTTTTAAGTGATGTTTTATGTTAGAAAGCTTTTAACCTTCCTCTATTCGGTGGAAAATATTTTTAATCGGACTTGTAGTTTGTGAGATAAGCGCGTTTAAACAAACGACAAAAACAAAGAAACTAACTCTAGTCTTAATATTATATAGGTAATATTCTATACTTATAGTATATATTTAGTAACTTATTATTATTTGAGTTTATATAATTCATAAAAAAAAACAAAAATGTACATATATATCTACTATATCTTTGGCAGGTTTTATACGAGATTACACAGGGAGTTACGTTATTGCATTTGTCATGCTAGCAATCTGCAATATGTGTTGTGTGATCCCTTGGACAGTGGAAGGCATCATAATGCTGATCAAACGAAGGAAGAGTAGTGCTCAAACATAACTCATAAGATTATTTTATTCCTTGAAAAGACTTTACCTAAAGACTACTTGTTGTAGTGGACTAGTAATATTATAATGGTTTTAACGATTTTAAAAATGGTGCCGATCCAAAGAAATCTTTAAAATTTGACGTTTGATTCCATACAGCCAAGGTGAACGTTAACTGATAATTATTGTTATAAATAATGATTTATATATATTAAGTATTATATTCGTTTTAAAAAATATATAATATGACATTAAGAAAGATAAGTTTGATGTTATGAGATTTAAAACTATGTTAAATATCTAAAAGATATTTTATATGTAAAAGTTAAGCGCCTGAAAATTTTAAATATCAATTCCGCATGGTTGCATGAAGCGTGGATGCTGTACAAATTATATGATGATAATATAATGCAATCACCACATAAAATAAGAGTATGTGTTCATAATTTATAAAATAAGACCAAAACTGTGTTCTTAGTTACTACAAATACTTAATTCACTGTTAATTTACTTGTAAAATAAAAATATATATGCAGTACATTTACATTTTGATGTTAAAAACTCAAAAATCACTACAAATATTGTAATTCGTATTATAATAATTAGACAACCATATTGTTAATTAGGTTTTGAATAATTAATAGACCTTCGATTAATTATACATCCATTCAATAGCAATATGCTAATGTGCCATTAAATATTATTCCCTGGTGTATTATCTTATGTGAAAAGTATATGTTATACATAATACTCATATTATTTACTGATTTACATTTAAATTATAATCAGTTTGCAAATTATGTAAAAGATTATAATAATTTAAAAAAAAAATCTAAAATGATCTCTCAAGATGTGAATAAGCAATAAAGCGTTTAATATTTAAATGTTTATTTTTTTTAATAATTACCTGATAGCCCTTCAAATTATAAGCTTTTTTCATCAACGCTAGCAGACATAGGGAAGAAAAATCTGCCTTGCTAACTTAGGTAGGATAGATAAGAACATAATATAACTTATCAAGTTTGACGTCGATGTCTGTCTGTGTGTGTGTCTGTCTGTCTGTCTGTGGCATCGAAGCTCTCAAACAGATGGACCGATTTCAATGCGGTTTTTTTTATTTGAAAGCCAATTTCCTTGCGGTAGTTCTTAGCTATGTTTGGTTAATATCGGTCCAGCTGTGTAAGAGTGTCAGCTCTTTACCAAAATGATGTAGGTAAGGCATTTTGGCTTCACGAGTGCCAGTGTAATCCCTAAATGACAATTCATTTGCGTAGAGGGTTTTTAAAAATTTTAATTTATTATTATTAAAGATCCATTTAAACAAAATAATTTCTGTCACCTTTAGGGTCGATCCACACTATAGGGCTGGTTACAGTCCGTTCTCGGTTCGATATCGGTGGTCGTCTTTACACGTCTACGTATTGTTTGCAATGTTTTTTTTTTATATTTATATTAATTTTTATTTTAGTATTTAAATATGTAGGTAAATATGTATTTTACAACAGTATCGATCATAAAAATCTTTATAACGCGATAAGTTGCGGTTGTTTTTTTTATACAATAGAAAAAGAATTATATTTTGTGACGTTAAACGTTATCGATATTTATCATATTTTTCACTTTGCATATAAGTTCTAGATATTTGCCGTTTGTAACAGTGCCATGCAATAATTTTTTTATTCATCCTATTTTATACCGCGGCTACGGAGCGTTACCTGCGTTTAGAGGTGTGTGTGTGTGTATGTATGTGTGTGTCTGTTACCATTTTTCTCGGAAACGGCTAGGCCGATTTTAAAACGGTTTTTTGTTTAACATAAGTCTCATCCCTGAACATGTTCTTAGCTAAGTTACTCTACTCAAGTCAAAATTTTCAAGTAAAACTTTTCTTCTATATCAACTCTACACAAGTAAAAATAACGCAGTTTAATATTTAAATCAATGTATTGCACCAACTATTAAAATTTAAAATAACCATAAATACGACATTAAAACGTAATATGATTAATAAAAAAAACTAATTATATCTAATTTATATCTATATATCTAATCTATTGATTATAGTCTTGTATCGATTATTCAGTCGAAAATCGCAGTCAAAAATCGATACTTGATTACTCACTATTTCGCAAACTATAGGTACTTCCTGTTTACCTGCATATAAGAAAGAGTACCTGATATAAATAGATTGCAGTACACAAACGATTATAATGCTAAATATTTATGACAGACACATCGCAAATACGAGTGAACAACGAAGTTTTATCGCTTCTATGTACACACTTGTCATGTACGTGTCCTTTATTTAATGATTCCGGTACTTTAGTCTGCCCATAGCAATAGAACACGACGGAACAAAAGTTAAACAAAAGCCAAAAGAAATATTTAAAATGAATGGGAGAAGTTCAAATAAAAGTGTAAAATATCCCGACGTAGACAAGTGGGGTTACGTGGTTTGTTTTGGCACAATTATTACTTTTGTAAGTATTTTTATAATATACTAAGTATTATTAAGTCAATAAATATAATTTCTATCATTTAATATATGTAATAAAGTTAGTAAATAAAATAATAGGCTATTATTAAATCATGTCGCTTATCTTGTTACCGATTGATCTCCATTACATATCATTTCAACGTGACATTGGCAATGTTAATTATACGCAACCAGCACTGCTCATATTACAAAACGAAAAATTCATATTAAAATTTAATATTGATGACAGTAAATTGAGTAAACTTACATTGTATTTGCACCACAACACAACAGGCTTATTATTTATTCGGTGTTGGAACTTTGTATTGCGATTAGATATATTGAATTTTTAAAACTATGCAACAACAAGTATTTGATTTCATCTGATTACTATGACTAGTGGTCGCCCAGTGATCAAAATTTGAGCAAAATAATATTATTGTTCGAAGAAAACATAAAATGGGAATAGAATTTATTACTATGAATATAAAAAAAGTGTTTCGAATTTTTTTTATTGATAACATTAAAGCTCACCAAAAAAACAATAACACAAAAAACAATAACAAAATATAATTGCTATTTTCTATAAAACAAAAAAAAGAACATCATGTTGACGAACAGAGGAGAAAAAGGTACTAAATTGTTGTCTTTGCCTATATATATATAGGCAAAGACATATAGATAAAATGCGAAAGTTGGTTTGTATGTATGTTTGGATGTTTATTACTCCTTCATGTTAAAATGGTTGGATTGATGAAATTTAGACACGGATAGACTATGACCTGCAGTAAGCCAGATATGTATCTGAGCTAAGTGAGGGTAAGTTGCTCGTTATCACTACATAGTATAAAACAAAGTCGCTTCCCGCTATCTATCTATTCCTACGTATGCTTAGATCTTTAAAACTACGCAATGGATTTTGATGCGGTTTTTTTAAAAGATAGAGTGATCCAAGAGAAAGGTTTATATGTATAATACATGCATATTATAGTACAGAAAAGCCGAGATATTCAAAGATTTGTATTTCATACTAACCGTTATAACATACTTAGTTACGAACCCGAGCGAAACGAGGGTGAGTCACTCGTTAATAAAAATTAGAATAACCACCAGTAATAAGAAAATTTCATTGCAAAGTGCTTAGTTAGTTTATTATTTGTAGTAGTTAATTAATTTAGTATAAGTAGTACTTATACTTTACTATTTTTAATTTTTTTTCTGTTTCTCTTTCGAAATATTCATTGATAAATCTTAGTTCAAAACATTGTTAATATCGTTTAAGTAATAGGTATATAACATATTTCAAATTGTCGGATTTATTCAATACGGATATTGATTACACTATCTACAATCGACTGGGTCATATTATAAATTATGCTGCAACTAATAGGTTTTTACATATACACATATATATATATATATATATATATATATATATATATATATATATATATATATATATGTACTTTTATTTATTTTTTATAATAAATATTCTTATGCTAGTTGACCAAGTTTCCCAGGTAAATAAAACGAACAGCGAATAATATGTCTAGTCTCAAGCTTCATGAAGATTTCAATGACAAATAATACATAGAATCGCAAAGCGGAATCGATCGATAGAAATTTTGCTTCCTCTAAAACAGCACAAGTTTCGTATGTGTAACGCGGCCTCTGTAAAAGTAGGTGGTATTTTTAAATAGGGGAGGTGATAGAAAGTCTTAATATACAAAAAATATGGAGAAAATGGAGGATTCAAAAGTGTTTTTTTTATTCAAAAATATAACTCACTACTTCAGAAACCGATTTATTGTCCGTTATATAGCCAAGCCGTTATCTTAATAACATAGTAACATACATATTATATATTTCTCCCATAGCTATTTCACTTCATGAAATTGTCATTAATGTAAAATTTAAAAATTTATTTACTTTCAGATAGCTGGAATTGGGCATGTAAATTCTTTTGGTTTAATATATAGAGATTTTATCGTCGATACGCAGTCAAGCGCCAAGTCTCTTACTACTGCACACGGAGTCTTCGCTGTTATGTTGGCTGTAGGAGGTCTATTAAATTACTTATATCGTTAGCATAGAATGCAGTGAATTTTCTGATAACACTGTCACGCTTCGTTATTCAATTAGTTTATCTTTTTTGTGTTATATGCCATCAGGTAATTTACCAAACTAGTACCTTATAACACGCACTTGTAACATGCTCTCTGTAAGGAATCTATACCAGTGCACAGTGCCGGATTCAACCTTAGCGCCGCTCCTGAGCATAGTAAAAAATGCCGCCCTATTATCGAAATTTTGAATAAAATGTTAAAAGTTAAAAAAAAATTGATCATTATTTTTTTAAAAATGCAAGGAAATAATTTATAAAAAATATCAATATATCGAAAAATGTACCTACTAGTTAATGTTTTTTTTATATTTCATTTTTTGCAAAATAAAAAAAGCATATTCGATATAGCAAAGAAAAATTTTTTTTCTACCCTCCGAATTTTGCCGCCCCTAAAATGTGGCGTCCTGGGCACTAGCCCCGAGTCCTCTTAGTGTAAATCCAGCGCTACCAATACACAATATTTACTAAATATTGTATATTAGTCTATTAACTGTTTTTTTGTAAAATCTAACAATTTAATGTATTAATTATTTATTTTACCTATTACATTTATAAAAACGTAGTTTGTTATAAGTTGAACTCAAAAATAATATAATATTTGTTTTATTTTCCAGGTCTGATTCTCAGTGTTGTATCCAGGAATTTTTCTTTAAGAATAGGGGGATTATTAGGGGCGTTGTTTATGGCAACGGGTTCTTTCCTAACAGTATTTATATCAAGTACAAATCAGCTTCCATTAACTTTTGGAATGCTTCAAGGAATTGGTTTTGGCATGATGGTTCCGGTTTGCTACTCAACTCTCAATCATTACTTTGTAAGAAGAAGAACTACAGTCATGAGTTTAATAAAAGCAATACAAGGATTCGTTTTGATTTGGTATCCTCAGCTGATAAAGATTATGATATTGAACTATGGGTTTAGAGCTACTTTATTGATAATAAGTGGTATATCGTTACATATTTTTCCTGGAATGATTACAATGAAGACAAATTTTGGAGCTAAAAAGAGACCAGCAAGTATTTTTAAGACCTTTAAATATTTATAAATGTTTATAAATAAGTTGAGTTTATACATCATGTTGTTGTAGATAGTACACAGATAGCAAGTAGAGAAAAACAACCGGAAGCTATTGACCTCCTACACGATACACCAAAAGGAATTGAGTTACAAGATAATGTTATCACCGATAAGAAATCTACGAATACATTTAGGTACGGCAATATTACAAACATTCATATCAGCAAATATTTAAATGATCTTGTTCTAATTTTCATTATTCTTATTTACAGGAACAAATTTTTGGAGCAATTTAATCTGAAAGTTCTGAACGATTCCGTGTTTTGTAATATTTGTTTGGGCCAAAGCTTTGTTAACTTCTCCGATATGATATTTTTTGTTCTACAACCAATGCTTCTTTTTCAATATGGATTAGATACAGTATGTTACATTTTTTCATTATTATATAAACATATGAAAATAAATAAGTTATAACATATCTAGAATATTTTATGTTTCAGAATCAGGTAGCAACATGCATTTCGGTCAGCGCAGGTGCAGATGTCGCAGGTCGTTTCGGACTTGTCTTCATAAGTAGTATCATTACAATCAACACTAGGGTACTTTTTTACGTAGCAACATTTTTTACATTAATAGCAAGAATAGGTAAATATAAAACTTGATATGTTGTGTCTAAAATGCTTAATAAATATTTATTATATGATAAAGCAAAGACAAGCCGTATGATATTATAATATTTATGTATTACATTTTTGTATATTAATACTCGCAAGTATATTATGATTACAAACAAAAGTACTAAAAAGTAAAAAATAACTGATTGGTAGTTTTCATTTACTATACATACCTAATCAAATATTTTCGAAGTCGGTGTGCTTTGCTTTGTATGGGCTGGCACCGATTTCTAAAATATTTGATTAGGTATGTATTTAATAGGTAGGCTTTAATTACTTAGCCACAGCACACCGACTTCGAAAATATTTGATTAGGTATGTATAGTAAATGAAAACTACCAATCAGTTATTTCTTACTTTTTAGTGCTTTTGTTTGAAGTCGGTGTTTATTTCTTTGTTAAAAAGTTTTTATTTTTCCCTTTTTAGTGTAGACAGTAGTAGCAAAGTAAGGATTCTAACGTGTTAGGCTTGTCAAATCAAACAAAATAAGCCCAAACTCAAAGTATCTACTATTAGCCGTTGAAGAGTTCCACCTAACCACCTTCTGGCCTTGCCATCAGATCAGGTCAACAACACTGAACCACTGTACTATCAACGGAAATAGAAATACTTGCAAAGTTTCAAGTCAATATGACAATTAGAAGTAGGTTAAATTCATCATTCGTTGTTTTTCCACCCTTAGGGGTGGTATTTTTTTTTGAAATTTAAATGGGACCAATCTGGAAGTATACCCTTTCAAACAAAACAAAAATTCTCCAAATCGGTTAATAAATGACGGAGTTCTGAGGTAACAAACATAAAAAAAAACATACAGTCGAATTGAGAACCTCCTCCTTTTTGAAGTCGGTTGAAAATAGGTAAGTTGTTAAAATTTAATGTAAAACGTCAAAACAGCGAGGAAGCGAGCCTGATAAAAATATTGATTTTATGTTTGTTTTTATAATATGTATTTGCCAAAAACTTCGTCATATAATCATCTATGTTTTTTAAATAAATAACACCTACATTTATCTCAATTGCGATGTTAGATAAAAAAGTCACTTAGTTTGAAAGATATCGATTCGATTTTAACGACTTTACTATCGTTAGGATTCCGTACATCCATTAAACGTGGAACTCTCAAAGAATCATGTCAATTTCTCTTGTCATCTAGTCTTGTCTGTCTGTCAGTCTGTAGTTGCTTATTTTATCTAAGTCAATCTACGGTCAGGAGAAATTGAAACTTGGCAATACACAGACTTAGGTGTAGGTGACCCAATGATGGACGTAAAGCATAAATACAATATTCTTAATCTCGGGGCATGCTTTAAAGCAAAAACTTAAAATATTAGTTTAGTCATAATATGGTCTTATGGTCGATTGTGGTCTGTTCCCAAGGGGGTTCAGACTATAGTCCACCACGCTGGCCAAATACGGTTTGGTGGACTTCACGTGTATTTCGATAACTTGCGAGGTTGTCTCAGATATGCAGGTTTCCTCACAATATTTTCCTTCACCGTAAGATACAGGGATATACATTAATTAAGCTACTTGTGTATAAATTAACAAATTATGTTTACAGCTATTCTACAAGTACGTCAGTTCATTTGGGTTACATGTATGACAAGTTTGCTAGGAATACTTCGAGCGTGGCTGCATGTGTCCAGTCCTCTGGTTATTTCCAATCACGTGTCTCACCAAGATTTTACAGGAGCCTACGCACTATTCATGCTGGCCGCTGGGGTCGTCAATGTTGTTTTTTCACCACTTATTGGTAAGTTATATAAATATATAAGAAAATATTACTATTTATTATGTATATGTATTGTATTATTAGTTATTATATACACATCTATACGTTTCTTTGGAAAATACGCTCGCGCTAAAACTATAAAAAAGACTAAAAAGGTAGGTTTCATACAATATTTCATCTCCTATTTTACCTTCTTATGGCATGAATTTCGAAATATGCTAAAACACGTATTTCATTAATTATATTGAAGAGAATTAATACCAAGTAGTAGTAGTTCTGTTCATAAATATTTTTTGGGTTGTATTATAATGTGTTTTTCCGTGGGAATGAGATGATCCGAGATAAAAAGTAGCCTATGTCACTCTCCAGCTCTTCAACTATCTCCACACCAAATTCACGCCAATCCGTCACTCCGTTTCAACGTGAAAGAAAGACAAAAAAACAAACAAACAAACACACTTTCACATTTAAAATATTAGTAGGGATTCTTTCTATCCTACAAAATATTATGACATTTTATTTACTTCTCCACGATATTTTAATTACACCCATTTGTATTTAATATTAGAATTCCACCAGTGTAAGAATGCGTTTTATGCCTTTATGCATAATATACCCATCGATACATTTCTTTATACTTTTTTAATATAAAGGGTATTGTAACGATCTAGTAGGCATTTCCTAAATATAGGCGTAAAGTGACTTACATGTCTACTGTAGATGCTTTCCATCAATCCCGCAAAAGAAAATGATTAACATGAAAAAGGCAAACTCATACATTTCACAATAGCCACACATTTTAATACTAAAGTTAAAGCGCCTAGCGCGAAAATTAAACGTCAAGCCCACAGTGAAACTACTTAAACTAAAATGAAAAGTTGGGACAGCAAGTAGAGGAAAAAGTTTTAAATTACAGTCTTTTCTCATTACATATAATTGTTTTTGTGAAAAATGCTAGGACAGATTATATTGTACAACGTTGCTCCATTGCGGTGCAAAAAGCTGAAAATATTTATGTCAAAAGCAAAAGGAGATATTTTCTGAATAAAAACAAGATCTGTGAAAAATACGAGTAGGTACCAGTGGCGTAGGGTCCATACAAGACGTCTTACCTTAAAATTATTTTTCTATAATTTTTCATACATTTAATTTTTTAAATGTATAAATTTTCTGTCCGATATATATATATATATATATATATATATATATATATATATATGTAATAGCTTTACTTCTTTCTGCATTAATACGTATATAAAAATTGTATATTATTGGAACGGCTTACCTCTGCTAAAATTTCACCTTTCGCCACTGGTAGGTACAAATAACGTGTCAATAGTTAATATTAACAACAAATTGTAGTGTGATGACCGTGCAAAATATGTCAACGGAAACTATAAGTTTGTCTCAGGCAGGATACAGATTTTTGACCTCTGACCTATAGAAATGTATTACAAAAGATAGAATGTATTAAAGAATAATTCTTAAAGTATTGTGAATATTTCAAATGTTCATTTATGAAATAGATTGTGTCACGATATCAATTGGATTTGAAAAAAACTAACATGTTACTTTAAACATTGAACAATGCAGTGAATCGACAACATGCAGATTTTAAAGACAAAATGGGAAAACTAAATATTAAAAAAACCTTTTAAAGAAGTTGAACTAATATATAAAATATTTTATCAGCGAAATATATGCTTTTAGAAATTCAATTTTCTAGCGCATATTGCTCCACGCGATGTATTTTAAGATTGAAGTGTTTATTCATGGTAAAGTGGAGCAATTCTAGATGTTTTCGCTCAAGCTGACATGTGAAAATATCCGAGTGAATACGAGATCTACTAGCAGCCAATTCAAATGAAATCAAATAGATTTCTCAAATGGCTAATATTAATTTTTATAATACACTAGCGAATCACCTTCGCTTCGCTCGTGTTCGTCCCTAGGTACGTTTTGACGGTTAGTATTGAACAGATAGACTATATTACTATATGATATATAGCATATATTCCTTCTCAATAAAAGGACTATTTAATGCAAAAAGAATTTTTCAAATCGAATTAGTAGTTCCTGAGATTAGCGTGTTCAAACAAACAAATAAACAGACGAACTCTGCCTCTTTATAATATTAGTATAGAATATAGATGTATAGTATGAACATTTTAATAAATTAGAATACACCGAAAAAAACCCAAAAAGGTCTAAAAATTTAAGTTTATGTAATTATGGGCGTTTTTCGAAAACGCAATTTTATATATTTTTCGAAAAACACCGAGCAAAGCTCATCACCCTGCTTATCCCATCCCTGATCACCCATACTTTATAGATGATTTTATCACTAAAGTTTGTTTACAACTTAATTAGCTATTTAATAAGAAATATTCAACTTGTTTTAGGTTTAATAAAAGATCTTCACCAGGACTACATACCAGCTTTTTATGCTCTGACAGTGTGCTGCCTGCCATGTTTAGTTTTTTGGCCAGTAGAGTATTATATATTGAAAAGAAGAAACAATGAAACTGCCTCTGAAAATCAATCGATGTAGTTTTAAGTTGTTTTATCTACTTCTTTTTATTTAAAAAGAATTGTAAACTTTGTAAATATGTATGTATATGTTTTAAAATAAAGCTATTTTACTTCAAAATTATTTTAGGCCTTTTATTATTTATTTTTTAGGATATTAATTGGTTTACTGACATTTTGAAGTAATATAATAAAAATGAAATAGGTGTGAAATCTATATTTTTTAGAATCTGTCTTTTATCTTTTGTTTTTTTTTAGAATTGACTAGACAGTTCGAGATGATGATTTTTTTTTATTTATTAACTCCTTAGGTAGATTGATTTCTTCAATCGGAGTAAGAAATAAAAGACATTATAAGAGAAACATATTTTAACCACGTGACATTTTGTTGTGCTTTTCATAGATTGTTTAATTTTCGATATGGCTACAGCTCCCGATGTCCCGGGTCGGCCCAAGTTTTACTACAATTTTTTTCTGTCAAGATTTTCTCAGTAGTAGCCCGGTATTAGGAAGTTGGCGGTGTTGTAACCCGTGCCTCAGAGAGCACGTAAATCCGACGGTCCTGCGCCTTGATTCTCACCGGTCCTGTCGAAGTATCGTCCCATTGCACTTTGAAAGGAAATGGAATAGAGAGTGCAATTTTGTCTGCGCATACACTTGCGCACTATAATATCTTTTGGCTAGTCTCAGCAAGATTGGCCGACGAGGCCGAAATCGGTCAGAAGGACATTATTATTGTTATTTTAATTGACATAACTTTCTTATTCATGAATCAATTGAAATGAAACAAAAACTAAACCACAATACATTTGTGAAAACCACACCCAAATCGGTTAAGCGCTTTCTGAGATTAGTGCGCACAAACGTACAGACAAACAGTCAAAACACAACAAAATTATTTTGGGTTCTATTGCATTAATAAAGAGTAAATACCTATAATAATAGTTTTTCTTAAATATCTTCCATGTACAGACAGCGATCATAACTTTTATTATATGTAAGTATAGATGATAGACGTTGTAGAACATCATATTCTAGTCTAAGCAGGTGTGTAAATCTATATATATAATAAAATTGTAACTAAGCCGAATCTGTACATTAAATATTTTTTGGGAAATCTTATTGAAATAAACATTATTATCGATACGGAGGCCGAATCTATGGCTTTTAGAATTTTTGTCTGTCTGTCTGTCTGTCTTTTACCGCATCACAGAAAAATCACTGGAGCGATCTTGAAGAAATTTGGTATGGTGATAGCTGGTTATCGGGGTCAACATATAGGATACTTTTTACCGCGGGAAAATTTGAGAAAAAATACAAAAACTGCATTGTAAGAGTATACTAATATGTAAACCTAAGAATTTGGTTTTTGGTCATCTGAACGCGAGCGAAGCCGCCGGCAATGCTAGTAATTTAATAATACTAAAGAATTTTAAGCGTATCGCTTGATTAAGTCAATGGAATAACGTGTCCCCGTTGTCCGCGATCCAAGCAAAAGCTATGTTTTCGGATTAAATTGAAAAACACTCGCGAATAGCAGAATTTTGTATAAAATACTCGTATATTGAGTTAAAGGTTGCATTTAATTTTTTTCTAATAACAACACGTTTGGCTCAGTTTATAGTGACTCTACTTGTTTTGCCAGCGGTCGCGGGTTCGAGTCCCGTTGGGGCCATTTGTGTGATGAGCACAAATGTTTGTACTCCAGTCATGGATGTTTATATATTTATAATATGTATGTATGTATTTAAAGTTGTATATGTGTTAAGGCAGTGGAAGCCCGGTAAAAAAGTGGTAGCCCAGTGGTAACACGCTCGCTAGAGAAAATGATTGAAGCAGATTCAAATCATGGGTCTCGCACCTCTGATATATTCATGTGCGACTCATTTCCAACACGATTACCACTTGTCTTCAAGGAAAACATCGTGAGGAAACCTACATGTCTGAGAGAACCTAACCAGTTTTCAAAAGATGTAAAGTTCGCCAATCCGCACTTGGCTAGCGTGGTGGACTATGGCCTGATGCCCCTCGTATTTAAGGGAGACCCGTGCTGCTGAGCACGTGGGACGTTAAAATGGCCTGAAATATGTGTAGTGTATCAACTATCTGATATCCATAACACAAGCCTGTTAGCTTACTATAGAACTAGATGGTGGTGTGTGTTAATGTCTCAACATTTATTATTTAATAGTAATATTTTGAGTAGGATTTTGAAATTGTTTCTTTTAAATACTTTTTTTAATTTTAAAATTTTATTAAAAAAAAGATATTTTAGATAATCATATTAAAAAGTTGAACGAATTTAAATAGTATAATTTTGATTTATATACTATGTAAAAGTTACTAACAATAAATTTTATTATGTACAAAGTTTGCCAATTACTTACAATGAAATAGTTCGTGAATTCTCAATATAATGTTTCTCTATATTTCCCTATTTTCCCAACAAAGAATCATTTTGGACTGTTTTAACTTTAACTTAGAAATAAATACGTGGAAATTCATAGGCTAAATATTATAAACATTTCTAATTCTTGTTTATTTTCACTATTAATAAATATTCTATTATTATTACATATAATTCATATTTATATATTTACATTTTATGCAATAAATAATAAGATAACTGAAATTCGATCAACAGAAGTGTCGACTCGTAATTATACTCAAGGTCATTGCGAGCTTGCACTTGAGGTTGAGAGGGATGTCTGAAGGGAGGTTGCTAGGCCTTGGTCGGTACTTGTTTAATCTTGACATATTCTGTGATCATTTTTAGGATAAAATGTTAGAATTTATTTGAAATTCAGTCACCTAGACTTTTATAATAGACCTGGACGACATATTCAGGCAGATACTTGTATGTATTCAAGGAATTTTCAGGTACTAAAATAACTATTCGAATGATGCTCATATCTAGTTTTGGGTATAGAATAATCTCGCTCTGCTTAGGTCTCAACTACACCTTTGCTATCTCATTATTTTTTGCAATTTATCTGCCTCCGTGATGTAGTGGTGAGCACGTACGTATTTCTGCATACCCAGAGGTACTGGGCTTGAGTCCCGGGTCAAGCCAATTTTAGTTATTAAATTTTTCTGTTAAGAAAGCGCCAGTAACATGCAGGAAATTGAAATTTCACCATCGTATCATCTCCATTTCCGAAGAAAAGTATGTAAATTCGTCGGTCCTGCGCCTTAACTCTCACTGGTCGTGTCTAATTATTCGTCCCATCGGAATTTGAGAGTAACAGGAATAGAGAGTGCACTTTTGTCTGCATGTACACTTGTGCTATAATATCTCCTGCGCAGTTGGCTAGTCTCAGGGAGCTTGGTTGCCTTGGCCGAAATCGGACAAAAGGACATCATCGTCATCATAATTTTTGCAATATATATTATCCCACGAGAATTTGTATTAATAGGATAAAAAAATACCAAAATGTACTCTCCCGGGCACGAACTGCCTATTACCTACAATGCAAAAAACACGTTATTAGAACACGAATATATTTTTATACTTTTTAATAATTTATTAGCTATAGTTATTAAAGAAAGTCAAGTTCATTATATGAAATCCATATATGCAATTAATCGTACTTTGAATTTGTTTGTTGTTTTTATTTCTTTAAATTAATTCGAGCTCTTTGCTGACGATGACGTCAAAAAATTTATGTGGGCATTATTTAATATGCAATAAATACTATTAATTAAGGCGTTTAGATCAGCCTTGTGTAAATTTCCAAATGTTTCACTTCCTGTTTACAGTTTTAATAATTGTTAAATATGGTGAAATATTTAAAATGGCGATGGAAAATTATAAAAATTCTTAACAGAGTTGAGTTTATAAACAAAATATTGCCTTAAGTTTGACGGATGACTCTAAGGAGCAGCGAAAACATATTGGAGCTTATACAAAATATCATTTTACAAACTTTGAACAATAGATATTAATAGATAGAAAAATAACAATAAACCAATTCAATTTGCCAATTCTATATCATTCAAAATGTTTATTCTTTAATGATTGTTGAATACCATCTTTTCTAACTTCTAAGTCATATTATTGGAAATAAATAAAATCGTTTGTTTTGTTGGTAGTACATTTTTTAATTTTTAAATGTATAGATCGCACTTCAATTTCAAATCAATAATTAGAAAAGTTAATAGATTAATCAAACTTGAGCTTGTTCACTGAGATAATTTTGTTATTTAACCACAAGTTAGCATTGAAAGAGACCTAAAATTTGTAAAAGTACCTTCCTACTAGTATATTTGGTAAAAAAAATAGTCAGTTTTTTTTAAATCAATATATAATATAATAAACAATAATCGTATACAATATGCACAAACATAATTATACAAAATTTTTATGTTACCCAATATTTATTTTTTAGGAGAATTTTATTGTAAACTAGACAAACTAAACAAAACAAAAACAAGAAAAACAATAACAAATTTTATCCCCTGAGAACCGTACATTTAAAGTAGCCTATTTGTTTTTATTAGGTGTGACCTATATTATTGTAAAGTTGCATTAAAATCCATTCAGTAGTTTTTGAATGAAAGAGTAATAAACGTCCATACATCTAGGCATCCAATCATTCTCATGTACATCCTCACAAACTTTTGCGTTTATAATATTAGTAGGATAATTTTTAAGAACATTTTTTTATCATTTTTTTATAAGAGCCAGTTTTCTGTTTCCGGTACTCTTTTGTTATAATAAATTAACACTCGCGCTTTTTTTAATCTGACAGTGGGAGGTTTTAAAGTATTTCTTGTGAACACACAGAATCGAAGGCAAAGAGGGAATTTGTATGTCGCACTAAGTAACAAGCTTTTTATTCTTTACTTATTAACTTAATTGACTTTACACCACTAGGTTATAATTATATTAATAACTACCTCGTCAGTCTAGTAGCTAGCATTTACGACCACAAACTCGAAGGGTCTGGGTTCAAGTCTCTGGTCAGGACATATTTAGTTATTGAGTTTATCTGTTATGGAATTCTCAGAAGCTGCCCGAGTTGGGAAGTAGTAGACGGAGTTACATCCCCGTGCCTCGGACAGCACGTAAAGCCGTTGGTCCTGCGCCTTAAAAAATCGAAGTATCGTCCCATTGGACTTTCAGAGTGTAAAGGAATAGAGAGTGCACTTGTGCGTTGTTGGATCGTCTCAGTGAGATTGGCCACCGTGGCCAAAATCGGTCAGAAAGAAATCGATTATAATTAATTAGACTGAATCACTATTATTCTTTAAAAACTAGCTTCAACAATAGCAAATATCAAGAATGTTAATAAAAAAAAAATTCAGAAATATGTGGATTAAGTTGAAAACAGCAACTAATACTATTTCTTACGTAAATGTCCTCCAAATATAATTTACAAGGTTCGTATCTATGTATTAAAACATTAATTTATAGTCATTGAAAATGAAAGTTAAATATTAAACGTTTACATGAAATAGTCAAAATTAATAATTACTGATAATGATTTCTCCTGGGGTTTTAATATTAATATTTTTATAAATTTTGACTTGGTCGTTGCGAACTTCTAAATAAAAAATATATGTATTTTAATAACCATTTATTTCATTTAAAAAACTTCACTCATGTTATTTTAACTTTTGAATGAAATTTTAAAAGTACACTTTATCATATAGTATGAAAACTTAAGAAGAATATCTATCTTATGTAGTATAAAATTATTGACATAATTTTTTATGTTCTTAAAAATTTCAATACCTATTATATGTTTCATTTTAGTATTTAATCATAGTGGTAAAATAAATTATTTATTTAATAATAATTAATCCACTTCTTAATAAAATACTTGATACGGCGCCTAGCTTCTCTAAGTTCTTCACTGTCGTTTATTTCACTTGGATGCATATCTTTACAGTGCGACGTGCACGGTATAACAATAGCTGGTGCCTCATCAGAAAGGTCTTCGACGATACCCAATGCACTCCAAGGGTCTATATCCCCATTTGTAAAAACTACTTTTGTAACATTAGGATTTAGCCCACCGAACAATTGATTCACATTGCGAATGCCATCATCAATTCTTTTATCATCAAATTCTGGACCAAATCGCTCTTTACACATGTTGGTATAATAGCTAAGCGGAATTTTTTTGGTAAAAGGTAGCTTATTAGAGGTTGCTGTATGAAAATAGCCTAATTCTGTACAAGTTTGGTAAATCCAAGCTAAAAAGTCATCATTTTCTCCTTCATAATAAATATTAAAATCCAAACATTTTTCGTCTTTGTTAACTGAGTTATTTATGCTCGTACAGTGTTTAAAAATGTCACTTGGAGTATGATATTGAGCATTCGTCGCATAATCTCTTAATTTATAAAGCAAAAACCTTTGTTGATTTGCTAGAATAGTTAAATTATAACTATCACAAATATTTTCCTCCTGTTTCAACTGTTCAACACCCTTATCACTCTGCAAAAGCCTATCATATTTTCGAAATAACGCCTGTATACTTTCCCAACAGTCAGATAGCCCAAATAGTTCATAATCATAACTTACCTTTTCGTAATATTCATGGAAATCTTTTTTTGCTAAAACAGGAGCACTACCAGCTATTGCAGCATCAACTAAATCTGGATAGAGCAACCTCATCCAAGCTGCTAAGTTTCCAGAATATGAACAACCAATAACTACAATTTTAGAATAGCTAAAATCAGGTTGTTCTTTTATATGTTTTAATAAATATTCCAAATCTGCAAGAGCTTGTTTTACTGTTAGAAATTTAAAATTTCCTACATTTGTGTCATTAAATGGCTTACTTGCACCATAATATCTGTGTTCTGATATATAGATAGCGCCATATGATTCTTGGGCTAACTCATACGTTAGCCCATACATTGCCCAATGCGGCGAAATTCTTCCTTCGCCACCTATAAATAAATATATAGGGCCTCCTGGTTTCCAAAGGTCAAGCCTCTCAAAGTATCTCATTTTCCATCTCCTTTTTTCTTTTGAGTCAAAATGATCTAAATCTTGCTCAATCCAACGCATGCGTATGTGACGCGAATTACATCTTTCAGGGCATGTGGACATCTGACGATTCAATTCATTATTTAGATGATGGAATATATTTCTCTGATGGAAAGCCGTAAAGCAATTTACAATATTAGTATTTAAGACAAACGCCAGCAAAAGGTATTTTAAATACATAATGGGCAATATTGTCTTACTACAGTAAGTTCTACTTGATTTATGTATTACTACTTGGACAAATGGTAACCATGTTATGCCTATTTATTTGAATATGTTTACTAGTATATTAAACTAAAGAGATTGTATGTTATTTCATAAATTTTAGAACGCGTTAATGCCTAGAAGTTCTAATACGATTAAAAAAATATACTTATTCTTTTATAGGAATTTATTGAGAAGGTTTATAGGCTGTCTAACATCAAGCTACGATCTTTAGGAATAGACAAATTATATTTAAATAAACTACGCAGGTCGAGCCAGAGGAAAACGCTAGAAAGATATAAAAGTTAGAAATATGCACATAGGATTTTTAACCATGGTGGCATATTTTGACTCATTTTCCATTCGAGTTTGGGTAAATTTTGTTAATTATTAATACGTTAAAACTATATGTTTGTCCTTCTTTCACGTCGAAACGGAGTAACAGATTGGCGTGATTATTTGTGTGGAGATTGTTGGAGGGCTGGAGAGTGACATAGGCTATTTTTTATCGCGGGAGATCATTTAATTCTCACGGGAAAACACGTTATAATAAAATCCAAAAAAATATTTACTATCAGAATTACTTGAAAATTGGTATATACTCTTCAATAAAATTAAATAAATACGTGTCTTAGCATTTTTCAAAATTCATCCCATAAGGGGGTAAAATAGGGGATAAAAGTTTGTATGAAATCTACCTTTTTATAGTTGTTACAATAAAAATAAATTCGCGAAAATATCCGAAAAGATAGTTTTATTTGAAATGTTAAGTATTCGCGTAAATCTAAGAAAGTAGAAATTTTCTTATTGTAATGGTACAATAACAAACATACAATAAAAATCATTTGTTACACGAATTTATAAATATATATAAAATGTTATAAAAATGCAATCTACCTACATATTTGTTAGTTTAATGTATTTTAAACAATTTACGTTCATAAACATGAACGCTTAACATTATCAGTGGTACGAATATTTCGTAAATTTTGCAACTAAAATGCAAAACTATGTCTCTTAATTGCTATTTACCAAATACAACAATGGCATTAAATAAAACAATAGTATAGCGGTAAGTTTTAGTTATAAAATTTTTGAAATTAGCAAATATTAGTAATTTTATATTACTTTACTGACTATAATGTTTACCATGAGAACGCCAAACTAAGTTTTTTGTACAGCTTATTATGAGCGTATAATATCTTATATCATTTTTATAATTTCATATTTTGCTTGGTTTGTTTATTGGAGCTAATGCATATATTTTTGTTTAACCGATTTAAAAAAAGATCAAAGAAATAAAATGGTGTTGTATGTATGTTTTAATTATGAACCTTTCACTTACAATGTTGCAGGTTACATTAAATCATAAAGGTTTCTTAGATAACATGATTTTTATGTTAATATTTTTGTCTTCTGAAACGAAAAAATGATAATATTCGGTTCTAGTTGACTCTAGTAGGGAAGATGTTCCTTTGTCGATTCACAAGGAACATAATGTTTTCTTTTTCAGAAAGTTTTCAGGAATTCACAGGTGTTTTTCGTTGCCGCCACTTTAGGTATTAAGCGATTGAGACCATAGTCGTAATATGTGATGAGTTGATGAGTTTAAAACAAAAAAATATACCTACAGGTATGTATGTATATTATATTTACATGTTAATTTAGTGTAAATTCAAAATATATGATTTTTATAGTACTGTATACTATATTGGGTAAACAGCTTCGGTGGCCTAGTGCGGTAGTAGATTCAGAGGCCTTGAGTTCGAATCCCAGGTCGGGCCAAGTTTAGTTCTTGGGTGTTCCTGTCAAAAATTCTCAGTAACAGCCCGGAGTTGGAATTAGGTGGCATTTCACTCCCGTGCCTAGGAGAGCACGCAAATCTGTCCCTGATCTATCACTGGTCGTGTCGAATTGCCGTCCCATCAAAGTTTGAGAGTGACAGGAATAGGGAGTGTACTTGTGTTTGTGCGAATATTTGTGCATTGTGCTCTATAATATATCCTGTGTCTCTGATGGCTTGTTATAGTGAGATGAGCCTGAAATTCAGGAGGAAATTATTAGGTAAACTCATATTACATAAAAACTTTTTAACAAAAAAATAAAAACCGACTTCAAACAAAAGCACTAAAAAGTAAAAAATAACTGATTGGTAGTTTTCATTTACTATACATACCTAATCAAATATTTTCGAAGTCGGTGTGCTTTGGCTAAGTAATTAAAGCCTACCTATTAAATACATACCTAATCAAATATTTTTGAAATCGGTGCCAGCTCATACAAAGCAAAGCACACCGACTTCGAAAATATTTGATTAGGTATGTATAGTAAATGAAAACTACCAATCAGTTATTTTTTACTTTTTAGTGCTTTTGTTTGAAGTCGGTTTTTATTTTTTTGTTAAAAAGTTTTTATTTTTCCCTTTTTAGTGTAGACAGTAGTAGAAAAGTAAGAATTCTAACGTGTTAGGCTTGTCAAATCAAACATAAAAACTTTTTAACAAAAAAATAAAAACCGACTTCAAACAAAAGCACTAAAAAGTAAAAAATAACTGATTGGTAGTTTTCATTTACTATACATACCTAATCAAATATTTTCGAAGTCGGTGTGCTTTGCTTTGTATGGGCTGTCACCGATTTCGAAAACATTTGATTAGGTTTGTATTTAATAGGTAGGCTTTAATTACTTAGCCAAAGCATACCGACTTCGAAAATATTTGATTAGGTATGTATAGTAAATGAAAACTACCAATCAGTTATTTTTTACTTTTTAGTGCTTTTGTTTGAAGTCGGTTTTTATTTTTTTGTTAAAAAGTTTTTATTTTTCCCTTTTTAGTGTAGACAGTAGTAGAAAAGTAAGGATTCTAACGTGTTAGGCTTGTCAAATCAAACAAAATAAGCCCAAACTCAGAGTATCTACTATTAACCGTTGAAGAGTTCCACCTATCCTCCTTCTGGCCTTGCCATCAGATCAGGTCAACAACACCGAACCACTGTACTATCAACGGAAATAGAAATACTTGCAAAGTTTCAAGTCAATATGACAATTAGAAGTAGGTTAAATTCATCATTAGTTGTTTTTCCACCCTTAGGGGTGGTATTTTTTTTTGAAATTTAAATGGGACCAATCTGGAAGCATACCCTTTCAAACGACACAAAAATTGTCCAAATCGGTTAATAAATGACGGAGTTCTGAGGTAACAAACATAAAAAAAAAAAAAAAAACATACAGTCGAATTGAGAACCTCCTCCTTTTTGAAGTCGGTTGAAAATAAGCCCAAACTCGAAGTATCTACTATTTATCGTTGAAGAGTTCCACCTATCCGCCTTCTGGCCTTACCATCAGATCAGGTCAACAATACCGAACCTCTGTACTATCAACGGAAATAGAAACACTTGCAAAGTTTCAAGTCAATATGACAATTAGAAGTAGGTTAAATTCATTATTAGCTATTTTTCCACCCTTAGGGGTGGTATTTTTTTTTGAAATTTAAATGGGACCAATCCGAAAGTATACCCTTTCAAACAAAAAAAAAATTGTCCAAATCGGTTAATAAATGACGAAGTTCTGAGGTAACAAACATAAAAAAAAAAAAAAAAAACAGTCGAATTGAGAACCTCCTCCTTTTTGAAGTCGGTTGAAAATAGGTCTGTTATAAATATGTTCTATATGACTAGTTATCGCCGATTTACAAATTTGTTAAAAAAAAGCAAAATTAAGTATTAATAGTAATTTATGTATAACTTATGTTATGCATAAATATTATTTTATATCAGGTAAAATTGAATTGTCTTCGTGACCTTTACTCGCTAATAAAATTGATTTAAATAAAAAAATAATATGCAAGCATTGATTGATTGATAGCGCAAAATTTCGAATTGTGCGCTCTCTTTTTTGAGAACACTTTTGTGACTGACTGAATCTTGAGTTTTTGTATATTAATGTATGCTAGTGATCCGCTATTGCTTCCTCTATAGGTTTTTGGAACATGCAAGTAACCCACAGTAAATAATCAGTGATGAGGTTAAGAGTGCAGTGTTATTGCACTTGCTCAGGCCTAAAAATGTTATATTATATACAAAAATCACATCGAACAGATAATGCGTGTAACGAAATCGGAACCAACGAACCAACAGTGGTCTGTTGGTTCACAAACACACTTTTGAATTTAAATACCAATAACAAATAATTATTATTAGTGAAAAGTAATAAAAAATATATATTGGTACATTATGTATATTAAATATTTCAATATTAAGTATTGTGTATGAAAGATAATATTAAGCGTCTACAATACCCTTATACGCAGACTAAATTTTTTTTTACCAAAGGCTTTATTTGTAGAATACATTCTTATAATACTGTAGTGAACACATCCGAATGAATATTAAGAATTTCTTAGGATTTAAAAAATGTCAAAGAAATAGTCATATTACAAAATACTAAAGCATCGAGCGACAATAAAAATAAGTACAAAGTATGGCTTCATAACTATAAAATAAACTTACACATATATTGAGACGAGATCTAGAAATCTAGATCAGAGTTCACGGGACGTATAAACCGGTCGATACAGCTCGGCCTGGGGCTATTGCGAGGCGAATAAAGATTTTTATGATAATAATTTGCATTTTTGTATGTTTTAAAATAACAATTAACTTATATTTTGTTAGACTTTATTGTTCTGAACTCGACTGGAAGCTTTTATTTTACCAACGAGCAGCAGCTGTTTATTTTAAATTCAGTGCTAAAAAAAGGCTAATAATAATAAACAAATCATCTAAATGAAGGCAAAAATTGAGTTAGAAACAATTTCTAGAGTAAAATCTTATATTTATTACTACAACTAAAATAAACAT